AAATTAATAGCCTTTAATTTAATGCACAATATTTCACTTATAAGCCTACATGTTCGATTAAAATCCTTACATGATCTACCTAAAATGCATTCGAATCAACCACATAGAAATCAAGATTGACGATAGAAGTCCAAAGGTTTCGCCACCTCTTCAAAAAAACGCTGGTTTGGACTGAAGATTGTGTAGAAAGAAATGAAAGAATACGACCAATGATCGCATCTGGCAAGCAACTAATTCCATCTCCTTCAACATTTTTGAAGATTCTTTTCCCTCTTGAACTTGGTTCTCATTGTATATGGTATTCTTTCCCTTAGAACTAGCAAAAAAACAGAAAGAAATTAGAAGAAAATTCACGGCTCATACAACAATCAGTTATCCTGCATGATGCAACAAGAATTAGGGTGATAAATCATTAACCATTTGTACAAAGGCAATTTTTTTTTAAAAAAAATATATAAAAAATAAACAGAAAATATAGGATCGGGTTTAGAATAGTTGATCAAAACTTGAACCAAATCAAGAAAATCTAAAATCGAAAGGAGATCAAATTTGGTAGTATCTTGTTTTTAGATGAAAATCTCTTTTAAAATACATTTGTTAATGAAATCTTTATAAATTCAATAGTTATCGAGGATAACTAAATTTGCGGAGTGACAGCAAATCACGGTATTCTAACACACACCCACACAACACCTCAATAGGTTCAACAAAGGGTCTGACTTTTGGATTTGCTGTGAATCACTGCAACCCCGGACGAATCATATAATCAGTAGAGCACTTTTTGATGTAGAGGTTGACCATGTAGGTGAAACTGCAGAGCATACTTATGTTTATATTCAAATCTTATTCCATATCACTCAAATCTATAATTACTATGTGCCTTCAAAAACTAAGTAGGAACTTGAAGAGTTTAGAAGAACATGATTTATAAAGCACACTGAATCTTATTTTGATAACTTCGAATGACTTACAAAGAGGTAGAGCTCTCCTTATATAGAGGAGAAACGCATCTAAAAGTATACACAAGACTCACACATTTTCCGACATAATGAACACGCGTCATTATTTTACAGATACAATACAAACTTTCTAACTCACGTTATCACATAGTACAATGATATAACTAAAGTAACAAATTATTATACAAGTAGACAAACAAACTTTAATAAAGCAGATCTTGCTTTAATAAAGTAGATATAGTACTGTCGTCTTGTCATGGTGTGTCGAGATTCATAGAGTCTTTTGGACGTGAGGGTAGGCCACATTGATTTAACCAGAGTACATTGACGTCTTGAGTTTCACTTGACCATTGATCCTGTGAGTCTTGAAAAACACTGTCATCATAATTAATTTGAGGAAATTGTTCATTTATTTGGCTTGATCCTGAGTTTTGTGATTTTTTCATGCTTGATTCTGCCTTTTCTTTTTCCTTTTCCTTTTGTTTTGGATTCCACCAGGGGTCTACATGTAGTTCATTTACAATTTTTTCTATTTCTTTTTCAAGAAATGCCTTTTCCTTTTTACGCTTCGGTCCAAACTGTCAACAAGTTTTTTTGCAATTTTCATTTGTTTTTTCCTTAGCTGGCATCCTTCTGGAGACTTTACTGAAAACTTTGATGTTTCACCAAGACTTTGTGTGGTTCCTTGATACAGTTGTCCAAATTGATAATCAAATGTATAGTCATATTCTGGATCTCCCATTGTGCGAAAGATGTGTTTCTTGATAAGCTTGAATGTCATGTTAGATCTTTTGAGTGTATTCCACTGGTAAAGCTTCCCATGGTGTGTCATCTTCATAGTTTGGCCAAATTTGTGGATGAATTATTTGTTTAATTTCTATCATTCGCCTTTTCAATTCTCGAAATTCTTTTGGATAGTGCTCCTAATTTTGATGCATGTTGAATGGTTGAACTGCATACTCCTTAACATGAGAAAAAGAAGTATACGTTCCTGTTTCAGTGAAATAACATTGTCTTTGAAAAATTAAAGTCATATAAGCATTGTTTTTAAAGTTCTGAATCTTTAAATTTTAAAGAAAAGGCTTGAAATATTTTTATCCAATGCGAGATTGGATAATTTTTTTTTTTTTGGCAAAATGATCAACTGTTCTGTGCAAAAAATTCAGATTCATTTGGCAGAATAAATCAAGTACCTCAATTATATGAAAAGAAATTTCAATTTGCCAAAGTTCTAAAAGGTACAAAGGAAAACAAAGAGGAAAAGTGTGAAAAAAGGATAGTTTGGATGGAATCTAAGACCACGAAGTGTGTCAATTTCAGTCTTTTTTATCACAATAGATTGATATCTGAGCATGAGATCTTTAGATTTGAATTTGAGAGTTTTTGTTTTTATGAGTTCATTGAGTTCATGAGGGAAAGTTTCAATGTGAGAGAAGGAATTTGAAGATTTTGAATCCATCATGTAAATGATTGGACGAGATAGAGGAAGAATGTGAGAAATTTTTGGTTTGGAGAGAAGGTTTGGCAACAGGTTATGCTTTCCTTTGATATGTTTGACGTCAAATTCAGTTTGAAAACTATTATGCCCACCTAAGAAGTTGAGAATTTGAAATCTGTTTTCTCTTGAAAGATAGCATTTTTGGAAAAACTGACATATCCATTTCTATCAAGAATTTATGTCTAATGAGGCGGAATTGGAATTTTTCAATTCCTCTTTTTACTGCAAGAATTTCTTTGAAGGTAGAATGATAGTACTTTTTAGATTCTGTGAATGAGCCACTTTTATAATGGATTTCATTAAAATTTCAATTAAGAACACCTAAATTTAGAAGAATTTTTAAAATCTATCACAATTTCAATTGAGGACACGATGTTTTAGTCTTTCACGGTTTTATTTCGAAGAAGTCAAAGTAGTAGGATTCATGGAGCATATTACGTTATAGTGGGATTGCGTATCCTCCTTTTTAGGATTTAGTGGAAAATGTGTATCTCTATTCCAAATAATGAAAAATGGACTGAAGAATTTATTTCGCATTCCGTGTCTTTGAGGTTTGAATTTCTCGAAAATTCAATTTTGGAGGTCACGATTGCGCCTACCATAATAATTTATTTCGATACGAACAATTCGCGTTCACATCACGACAAACTATGAAATCTGACAATCCAAGAAAAAATAGAGCATCTTAGGGTTTAAGGAGGAATAAAATTTCAAACGACCGGCTATGAATGTGAAAAGTAGTTTTTTTTTTTTAGCCACTGTTAAAGGAGAATCGAAGAATACAGAACACCCATCCAAGAGAAAGATATTTTATGAGAAAAGTTGTGGATTCCATAATTATGTGATTAATATTAATTATTTCCTATGATTTAGATTTAATCAATCTTATTAGCTGAATCAAATGAGGACATACTCTCAAAAAGCTTTGTCAGCTTATTTTTTCACAAAATTTTCTTTATAGGTTATAAGACTAAATTATAAGGAAATGGCAAAAATTGAGATTTTACAGCAAAAATGGTATACAATTCACAAAAACTCTCCAAACTATAGGGACAGGAAAACATTTTAGCATATGTATATCTTTCATTCTTTCAAAACTCTTTTTTCTACCTACTCATCTTCAACCATAAATTCACACAATGAAATATTTTACATGTAAACACAACTTTTTCCTACTTTTTCAATCACACATTTTTCAAAAAAAATGGCTACCAAACATGGACTTAATCATACTGCCGAAGAGTTTATATGTTCATAGCATTTGATCACATCAAGCAATACCCCAGTTCGTTTGAATTCAAGACAACTTTTCTGTACAAAAATAATCTCCAAACCATGGGGAGAAGAAAACAGAAAATCACAAAGAAATTAACATCTTTTTCCTTTCGGGAAATTAGTTTTGCCGGTGCGCGATATAATTAGCTAAATGACAGAGTGGCGCGGCCTTGGAAGCATCAAAGTAGGACTCGAGAAGGTACCGAAATCGGTACAGTTCTCCGGCAAACTCCTTGGCCTTATCGAGTCCCAATAGCTTTGGATAAGTAGCCTTGTCACTCTCCAAATCCTTGCCGGCCGTCTTTCCCAATTCCTCAGATGACTTAGTAACATCCAAAATGTCATCCACAACTTGAAAAAGAACGCCTATGCATCTGGCATATTTCCTTAGCCTCTCAACATCAATCACATGCCCTCCACCCAAAATTGCTCCACAAACAACTGATGCCTCTAGTAACTTTGATGTCTTGTGCACATGAATATACTCCAGTTCTTCCAAACTCACTTGTTTCCCCTCACTGGCTATGTCCAACATTTGCCCTGCAACTAGTCCTTGTGATCCAACCGCAGAGCCGAGTTCAGAAATGGCTTGAACCACTCTCTCGGGCGACACATTTCTTGGAGTCTTGGCTGCTACATGTTCAAAAGAAAGGGACAATAGTGCATCACCCGCAAGAATCGCAGTTTCTTCCCCGAAAACCTTGTGATTAGTGGGCTTTCCACGGCGCAGATCATCGTTGTCCATGCACGGGAGGTCATCATGAATTATTGTCATTGTGTTGATCATCTCAACAGAACAAGCCATGGGGATAGCCATGGATTCTTCTCCTCCTACTATTTCACAAGACGCAAGGCATAATACAGGCCGGACGCGTTTTCCACCAGCAAGAAGAGAGTACCTCATGGCCTCATGGATTTTGATTGGAGTTTGCAATGGAACTGCCTCATCTAGAGCTTTGTTCACCATTTTTGCCTTCATTTTCATGTACTCATAAAAATTGAATTCAGGAAATACTAAGTTTGAGGGTTTGGGGCTCACTAGTTCTTGGGCTTGTAATGACTGAGAAATAGAACTCTTTGCCACATGGGTAGGCTGAGTTTTCATGCAGATAATATTAAGGCGGTGGCTGAAAGAAGTTCTTGGTGGCAGAGAGAAGCCATTGTTAAGGTGTTTGTGAAGTACTATGTTTTCATTGCTAGAAATTGCTGTCAAGAATGCCATTGATAAATGTGTAGAAGAGACAATAGTTGGCTGGGTGGGTTGTATAGAGAGAATTAGAAAAGCTATATTTATACAACTCATCAAGCCATTTACTATGAGATGCTCTTTTGTTCTCATATGATTATTGGTTATGCTTCAAAATGTGGTTTTGGACCCTAGTGATACCAATTTTGGGAGTGGTTCGTTTCTTTCCCTATCTATGTATAGTAGTAAAGGTTTATTTAAGAGTCGGATCGAAAGGATTGTAGCCGACTTCACATTTATCAAAAATAAGATTCAGTTTGTTATGCGAAAACTAGTGCCTTTCATGAGTAAAGTAAGACGAGAGAGGGAATCCCAATTGTAAAATGCTTTTAGGTAATTGAAAACAAAAGTAAACAAGATGGAAATTTAGAAAAGCGTATACTTTGAAGAGAAATTATATGTTGATTCCAAATCCAACCTAATCAGCAGATTCTTTTCAGAAAAACCAAAATTTGTTAATTTGAGAAAAATTTTAAACGCAGTCTCCCTTAATCTCTCTCTTTAGGTTGGACTCAAAACTAAAATTTTTACATATAAATACATAATGATTAGTGTATTGTTGAAAAATGAAGCAGTCAGTCTTCACCACAGTGCTATCATGCAATGGACAAATGATTTAACAACAATATGAACACATTTATCTTTTCTTCAATTTTATTCCATCTTTTTTGGTCAATCTTTTGGAAAGTTCTATTTGTACAACCTCGGTTGAAAACTTCTTACATGTATGCGGGGTTCACATGTTTAAAAAAAGAAAAAAATTGAACCCCCCACCCCCCCGCGCCCCGTGAGTGATTGTCAACCGAGATTATACAACTAGCATGACTCCAATCTTTTAGATGATTTTCATAGAATTTGATGTTAAATGACAAGGTGGTACTTGACACAAGGCATATAGGCACACCGAAGAATGGAAGAAACATGTTTGCAACATTTTTTCTCAAAGAAGAATGATTTGAAGCTCCATCTTATAGAATAGAAACTCGAATAATTGCTAAAGCACAACACATAAAAATAAGTCAAAAATGTGTCGACATGTTTAATGTCGATCTCTATTGGAATGACCAACAAAATCCGTTCTCCAGAATTTACAACCTCGAAGAAAGTGTCGCAACAGCATCTCATCTATTCTTCGGCCGTCTTCATACCTAATGTGCTTCAAAGGGTATTTACTATTTTTAGATTTTATTTTTTCTGACGGTGAAGTGAAGGGAGGGAAAGTACTGACGTTTGAACATTTTAACTTTGGATCAATACTTTTGGAATAAAATAATGTGAGTCGTAAAACTGGAATTTGTAGGAAATTAAAAGTACACCATGTAATTTTCACTAGAATAAATGAAGAAGCCCCAAAAATTACAGTAAAAATTAATACTTTGGTTCTCAATCTATAGCGTTTCTAGCAATTTTGAACCCAACCTACAAAACTAGACAATTTGATCTTCAACTTTCCATTTCTGTGGCATAAGCAGAGAGTGGACGGAAATTGCTTCAGCAACATTTGGTTGCTTGTCCTGTCCCGTGACCAATATGAGCAAAAAACTTGCTTCAGAACTCCTGTAATGGCTCCCTTCCATGCATGGTCAAAGTGGCAACTTCCCCAATTCAGATGCATAACTAAGCAATCGAAACCTTAGGAAATCTTAGAGGAGAATCTAGCATACTGGAGATCAAATATCTCTCTTAAATTTGAGGCTTTATGATGCTACTTAAATACTCCTAATCAACTGTCAACGGCCTGCTCAAATACACGTGAATGTATCAATAAATAAACTACAATGATTATTTTTTTAAAAACATGGCTAGATTTCGTTATTTCACACATAGGACGATGAGATTTCAGTTCTTTGCAAATAAAAATCATCATTTGTAAAGCAGAAACACAGAGCCCAAGCATTGCATTTCTGAACAAGAAAGTTAATTCTTTATTTCAGATAAACTAGAACAAAAACCAAGATATTATCACAAAAGCTCAAGGAAGATATAAAAGACTACATGCGTGACCATCCTAATTAAGCTTAATCACTAGGGCACGCCACCAGTCATCTCATGAACGTGGAAAATCTCCTTTTCATTCATCTTCCTTTTATGTTTTTGTAAGCAGCTCATAATAAAGACACGAATCAACTGCCAATCCTGTGCAGATCTGTAAAATCTTTACAATTTTTTGAGTTTCATCCATTCGAAGTTGCTTCAAAGCTTATTAAAAACTCTCATTCAGCCAAACTATATATCAAGTAGGGGTGTCCAAAAGTCCCGAACCGAACCGGACCGAACCGAACCCGAACCGAACCGAACCGAACCGAGCGGTTCTTTATAAATTAAATACCCGAACGGGTACCCGAATCGAGAACCGATGGGTTTGGGTCGGGTCTCGGGTCTAGACCAAGAACCGAAGAACCGAATAAGAACCGAAACTAAATAACTTTTTTATTTTTTATAATGAATTAATTAAATTATTTTATTTTTTTC